AGCCGGATTTTTGCTCTACTTTCCAGCTGGAATCGGTCCGAATTTACAGTTGGAGTCCAGCTGGAACCAGCTAACAAAACCAGATTCAATCCAGCTGGAAAATTCCAGTCGGGATTTTAAACTGGGCTGTTACGTTCACGTCAGATTAAAGACGCATTCATTTTTGCGACATCAAGTGATGTCGCAATAAAATCATGCCATATGATTTAATTTCACGCCGAAGTTTCAGAAAAAACGAATTCAACTCCGCACATTTCTTAAAAGTATATGGTGTAGTATAGCATCGACACGGAAATACGTCGACAGAAATAGACCGAAACAGATCTGCTTCGACAGATCACTTTCGGATTTATACCGACACGGAATAACATCGAAAGTAACAGCGCCGACACGAAATTATCTCGACAGGATTTTCTCATGTCGAGATACTTCTGTGTCGACGTTGTTCCCGTCGAAGTCATTCTGTCTTTCGCCGGTGTCGAAGCAGTTCCGTGTCGATGCTATTCTTTTCGATGTTATTCCGCGACACCCAAAAATTTTCGTTGCTTTATCGTCGGGTCATATCTGGGGAAGGTGGCTCATTTGCCGAAAATGAGCCAATGTGGCTCAGAAGGTTCCGAAAACCAGCGTGAGATGGAGGCCAAAGTGGTCGTAGTAGAGTCACTTCCCGGATTCTACTGAAATGAGTCCCCTGTCCCTTTGACACAGTTCCCTATGGTTTCTCACGTAGATCTCAGAGGAAGACAATTGAATTTCTTGAAACATGTATCCGAAGATGTAACCTAACCCTGGAATAAACCAGGAAATTCCAGCCCAGGGGTCCGTGGGAGGATCTACTTTCCACCATAAGCTACGCGACCTCTTTGCTCTACTTATAGATATTGAAAAGTCTTCTTACGTGTAAGGCGTGCCTGGACTCCTGCGGGAGGGCAGATACCATTGCATTCCCGTGTGATTCCTCTCTTGGATGCCTTAGCATCATCGGAAGGGATGTTGCTTGGGTAATTCTCAGCGTTTGGCGATAGGAGTGTACCGGTGTAAGCTCCTTTCCGATGAAGGAGCAGTTGAGGGCCAAGGAATGCATTCTAGCCTCTTTAAGATGCGTAATGCTGTAGATGCAGTTTAAGTAGGTTTTTTTTTAAATCCTATGTCTTTTCACCATTGTGAAAAGTCTGCTTATGGTTGGGGCACGTGCGGTTTCCCAACAATGAGACAATGAGCCAAAGTCGGCCCGATGAAGGGCCAACAGGACATGCCCGACCATAAGCCGGCTTAAACCAATCGTAAGCCAACCATATGCCAGTGATGGCTCAACTAAGGCTTATAACGCGTCGGCGAAAAGCCATCGATGGCCCAATTAAAATTTTTTGACTGGGTTTGGTTAACAAATGACTTGAAGTTGCATGATCCTCCCACTCGTAGTGCAGCAGCAGTTTTTACACAAATGTCTCCAAGTGATGCACAAAGTTTCGCGAGTGAAACCATTTCAACGGTTTCCAAATACCACGTGTTGCCGAAAGAGTCTCTCCTGTGGCATAGCATAACGCTCTCCGTGACGTTCCCCCAAGTGGGAAATCCTCGCACGTCTACTGCATTCATCCACTCATGATTCTCCCTGCAGAGTGATTCAAGCGGTCTTTTGTGGAAAAGCGATGGGATGTGAGCGACCGCGCTTTAAATACCGAAATGAAGGGCTTCGCTCGGGATTGCTCCAGATAAAGATTGGCGTGGGCGATGACGAATTTCCTGTATTTAAGTGCTGCCATGAGAAAAAGTCACACCGCTATAATTTCTTTGTCCTCATAGCTCAGTAATTCATATATAATGATTACATGATGGTCAAAAGGAAGGTGGGAATTTGAGAAAGAAAGATAAATAAGAAAATAAATAATTTTATCAAATCAATTCCCGATTAAAAAATATAGAGAGCTCACAATCCACACGGGTCGCCCCTAACTCAAGATCTACAATGGGACTATAGCTCAATTCCAACAACTCGCATTCAAATACAGACTTACTATGTGAAATTTTGGGGAAGATAGAATAAGGCGATCCTGGCGATCGATATAATTCTTCATCACGTCGACGATGAAATCGCCAGGATGTCAATCCACCAGTCAAATAATTTTTTCTTCTGATATCGAGTCAAATGTATTCAAATGTCAATCCAATCCAAGAAAAATATATGAATCTTACAAATAAAATCCATCCACGCCTGAGAGGCTCTCATTTTCACCAAAGGTAAAACTGATCCTTAAAGATACCGACTACATGTAGTCAGGGCCGTAAATACCCCATGTGGCGCCCCGGGGCAGGGAGTCATGGACGCGCCCCCCCCCTGGCATTTTCCCTGACTTGTACCTGCCAAACGCCCTCCCTTTAAGTGAATGGCAAAGCCAAGTTGGCGTTTTTAAAATTCAAGTATACGGAATAGCTCTTGAGTATCCCAAGAGTATTCATTGACACGCTCGCGAGTCGCCCTCTATAATTGGGGTCCAGGAAAAAGCTACCTGGAAAAAAAACCCGAGATGAAAATGCATAAAAGCCACCCGGGTGGTTGCTTCGTAATTATTCATTTCTCTATATTTATACATATCAGATAATTAAAGGCATTCATTTGGCGATCTTGAGACACATTCATGCAGGGATTTGGCTCATAATTATCCTTGTTTTTAATATTTTAGGGTGAATTTCCATCAATTATTCAAGTAAAATATCACTGATTTTTCGTTTCCATTTATAATAAAACGACAGAAGATGCAAAGCATCGCTCGATTGGAAGCACTACTTTAAATATATACAAATTTTATTTTCCTACTTTCATTATGAAGGGAAGGACTCTGTTCAGTTATGAACATTGACTCATCTCAATGCAATGCTTGAACAGACTTCGGGGAGGGGGGGTTGAGGAGGGGAGCTAATCCTGATCCTCTCCACTCCCTGGAAAAAGGTGTGAAAGTGGATAGGAGGGAGATAAAATAATAATAAAAAACCTTACATGACCCCAGAGCAAGTATTATTTGAGAACAATTTCCAAGAAGCGTTCAGAGAGTGGAATCACCTCATCCTGCAACACGGCCACAATCAAAAGATTTCCTGCGGGGGGTTGGCCATACTGTTCATTTTTAAGGAATGGGCTGAAGTTGGACTTTTTATTTTTCAGAAAATTTCAATGAAGTTGATCAAATTACATGACATCAATATCACTAAATGTCCCAAAAATGAATGAGTCTTTAAGCTGACCCGAACATAGCGGGATGACGCTTTTCTGCCTTTGCCAAGTCTGGGGGTCTTATATCCAGGTGGCTTTTTTCCTAAACCCCTATATATTGATAATTATAACACAGCTTTCCTTCCTTTACGAAACGCAAAGATGTCAATGACATGACCAAAATCCACTTCTTTGCCGCTTGATTTTATTTTCACTGTGCAACACTTTTTTTTCTGTGCCTCATTTAGCTTTCGCTTGCTTCGCCCCCCTCCCTTCTCGGCGCCCGGGGCAGATGCCCCCCCTTATTTACGGCCCTGCATGTAGTGCCTCCATGGGAAACAACATTGTAATGCTAGTAATGGGAACGACTGCTGATACCTAGCAACCAGTGTATTACCGTAACATCTCTGCTCCCGATATCTCTCCATTTTCATCCACTTTCCTCACTGGTCTCTTCTTTTAATCTGGTCTTGGTAACCCTGGTTTTCTCTCTCGTTTCTTTTTTAAATTGTCTGACCTCCACTCAGGGCCACCCAGAGGGGGAGGGGGGCATCGTGATAAATCTGCCCTGGACCTTGCGTATCAAGGGGCCTCCAGTTTAGTTTTGCCCTGGGCCTGTTGCCTTGGCCTAGGCCAAGGCAACATGATACAAAAGGACGAAGGTGACGCTCCAAGAAGTTTCAAAGGATGTTTCAATTCCAATAAATAAAGAAGAGTAAAAAGTGGGAAACATCAACATCTTGTGCATAAGACCAAGTACTTTCTTTCCCTCTAACTTTTCCCAAACTTTCAATAAGTCCTCTTACACTGGCTTCATCATAAACAATAAAAACATTTCTTTATTGCTCTTGAAAAATCTCCAAAATATGCCACACAATAATGTCAGATCTCACCGACTGAGGACGGAAATGAGTATGGTATTTGTATTTAAAAAGAAAACATTTGCATTGACCCTGAACAGAGCATATGGAATGTATGCAAGTCATGTAAAGAGTGACCAAGAGAAAGAGGGAGAGATATTTGGAAGAGCAAAAACAGGAAAAGAAAGAAGAGGAAGAATCAAGAAAAATCACAGCCTGAGAGAAAGAAGCCCAGCTTTCACGCATCACAGACACGGTAGAAAAGAAAATTGTACTCCACAAACCCTCCTGCTTCCGCTTCACACAGCCCTCCATCCTGTGATATGGAAAGATACCTTTTACTATAACATCTATTTTAGTTTCTGCATCTTCCTCTGTCCCACTCAGGGAAGAAGAGACTCACATTGGGAGTAAAACTGCGCAGGAGAGGGAGCCGGAAACGAGAGGCCGCAACCTGCCACGACCCCAAGTAAACCCTGAAATCGACCCTGGATCCTCCTTCCATACCTGCAGTCATGGCTCCCACTTCAAAGTTTCCACCAGACCCTGTTTTCCGTTTTCGCTTGGAGTCTTCAGTCCATGGACAAGCCAAGAATGGGACTGGAGACATGCACTCTTCTAGCTGCCCTGCTCCTGGCTCCACTCTGCTTAAACATGCATCATTAACTGACCAGAAATGCGAGAAAAGATAGCAGATTCTCTAAGGATGACAAACCTGAACTGGAGGTGAATGAACTCATCAGGCATGAATTTAGAAAGGGGGATGGCATAAGTAAAATTGAGCCCATCGATCCCATTCTTGAGACATGCACCATCTGTGCAATATTCTCCTGTCACTGTTGCATTCCAATCCTCCCCATAAACATGGATTCCTTCCACTCGAGGCTCTGAAAATTCTGCAACAAGAAGAAAATTTGATCAGGGGGAAAGGAGCCAACCCGGCACTCAAAAATGAAGTTACACGAAAATTTACCTTTGAGTGCGGGTGACACGGATTCATTGATGGGAGTGTGTCGACGTGGACGATTCTGCTTTGTTCCAATTGGTTCTCCATTTGTCCCTCTTTCCCAAATCATTTCCTGAATGAAAGGGAAAAAAAAGACCCAATAAAATAGGGTCCAGCATGACAGAAAGAGGAATGCTGTGCAACTCACAGAGAAGAGTTCCATGTGTCTTCCATCTCTCAGTTGAAGGATGGGGAGAGGAGGTGCTCGATTTCCCTCCTTGGCACCCAGTTCATTCTGCAGCTCCAACAGACCCTCACTCTCTTCTGTTGGATCTACATACAAGACCTTCAGTTCATTTCCATTCAGTCAAATTTGAAAGGGGCAATTTAATCAAGAACTGTGAAGTTGAAAATTCAACTGGAAGCTGTTCCAGAAAATCTGAATAAACTGATTGAAGGAAACTCTTCCCATTTCTTTCATCTTTCAAGAAAACCCCCCCCACCCCCCCACATTCATCTGATATTATTCATGGCCTGTACTTTTTACTGAAGCAGACCATACTCCATTCCATTTTCCAACATTCATTTCACATTGTTATTGTCTGCTATATTTCACACGAGTTGGAAAACTTGATACTGTTGTATTAACAATTATATTAGAGAAGATGCAACTTAAGCCCAAGTGCATTTTGAATGAAAGGAATAGTCAGTATTTGCTGATGTTTTCAAGCAAGGTCAGAAAGCTCAGTAAGCCTTCTGTATATAGTAAAATATCCAAGTGGTATATCCTCTGATATGAAAATAAAAAAATAGTCTCTCTCACAAGGAGCATCAGATGACAAGAATGAAGGGTGAATGGTCATCATTTAGTTCAGTTATTTAATTTTATCTACTTTTGGTCTGAATGAAGACAACATTTTCTCAGTTTCCCTCCTACAGTATCATCTTAAAAGGGCTAGATTATTTTTAAATTCAGTATATTTGTTCTGTTGTAGGGTCCCAATGAAGACAATTGCTGCTAGCAATGATTCAATAAAGCTTCATCTTTGAAGAGTGAAGAAAGTGAAGGTTACAAAGTTCATGGAGAGAGAGATCCCTCCAATACACCAAGAAACTCAAATGATGAATGCTGCCCAGATATGTGGGATATGAGACAAGATTCTTCTGATGAGGGGATTTGTCATTGACTCAGCTGGGGTAATAGGGGTGGAAGACAGAACAGCAGTTTAGAGGATGAAGTTTTTAGGATAGCAACAATCAACCCCTCATTTTCTCCCTCAAGTGTTGGATGATCAACATCCCAACTTCTTAAATTCACTCTAGTTTAATAACTACACCGTTCCTCATATGCTGCCATAAGATCATTCAAAAGTGTTCTCCATTTCAAAATTCATTTTACAAAATGCAGTTTGCACATGGTATGGAATGTTTTCCAACCTAACTAGAGTTAAAGCTAAATACTATAAGCTGCAGTGAATTGTGGTGAATCTGGATGCTTTGCTTAAAAACACAATTACGGACATTTTGAAAATTTCTCAGAGCATCACTTGCAGAAATACAAAATATTAATGAAATGGACCTGGGTTGTGCTGGGGCTCTCGAAAAATCCCAATCTCTGCATCACGCTCCAGCTCACAACAGACCACCTAAGGAATTTTTAAATACCCCAAAACTTCAGTTCATCATCAACTTCAATCATCATGAACACAAATAGATGAGCAATATTATATGAATAAAAACAGGTTAAAAAAATCAAGTTTCAATGCCACATATTGATGGGACAGTGAATTGCTAGTGGCCAGCCAGTCTTACAGCAACGGTGCAACTGTAAGACTGACTTAAATAAATAAAATATGCATATATTTATTTATAGTTATATTTATGTTCCTCACACCAAAGAACTTCAACTAATACTAATAGTCCACGTTTGTTGATGACATAATTTCAGAAAAAAATTAGTTTGTATGCTATGCCAATCATGTGTCTTGTGACTTGTAACATCATCAAAAGTTGTGTAGAAAATTTGTGAAAAAGATGCAGCATAGGCATCACCTCAGCCAGTGTGCCAGTTTTCTGGTCATATTAAGAAATTTAAAAATTCAGTAAAATTAATTTATGCCAATATGGTACCAAATGCAAATAAGAGAAAATATACACAGAGAGAAGCTCCATGAGACCTGGAACATACCTGACATGGGGATGAGGCAAGGATCCCATTGGATGCAGTGGGAGAGATAGAGCAGGGAGGTGGTCTCCCAAGGGGTGTCGGACGGGGATGATATGGGTGGAAGGATACAGATGCTGATTGGGTTGACAGGGATGGAGATGCCACAAGGTTTCGATGTGTCCAAGGGTTGGATGGAGACATTGATGCCTGCAAATGGAAGGAGATCTCATCCGAGGATCCGATTATCCTTGATGGTCCCCCCAATTCCCTCCCTTTCTCCACTGGGAAAAGTGCCAATAAGCTCCTCCTATCAGGAATGACCAAGTAAGCATTCATGTCATATGAGTTCTTCTTCTCCACTTGCATATCATTGTTTTTGGGAATATGATGGAAGACTCACACATCAACCAAGGACTCTCGTCGCCGATATTCAATGATATATACAGTTGCCATGGCCACAAGACTGCAATGAAATAAAAACTCATTCAATATCTTAGCAGCAGGTAATTTTTTAACAAAGAAGAAATGAAGAAGGAGATTGACAATCACACAGGTAGAGATTGCAGAGGCATAAGGGAAAAGACTTGCCCAAATCAAGCCCCTCTAAGATGAGCCTATGTGAAGACAGTTTTTGATGTACAATGCAGGTGACTTAAGAAGATGGGCTTATAAAAATTCATTTTCATTCGATTGTGACATGTGAAGACACAGGAACTTTGGATGGGTCAAATATCATATTCAGATATAATTATGTGACTTGTGTGAAACACTAAATACCATTTACCTTCTATTATTTTCGTAAATGACTCTTTTATACAGGCTAGGGGAATATATATGAAAACTTCATTTTGATTTTCATATATGGATATATTATGGCAATATTCTCAAAACTATAGTGACATTCTACCACCTTATTGATCAACTAAGTCTAAGTTTTCCTTTCAATTTAACCAGGAAAAAATGTATTCATGAGTTACAAAACACAAAATGAAACCAATATAACAGGAAAGGGAGCAAAATGAGCTTTTCAAATGTGAAGAAATCAACTAAATGATTTGGCCAAAAATCAGTTCATTGTTGACTCAAGACATGCAAATCACCATCAGTTCAATTTGTCTTGTGGGAATCAAAGTAACAGTTCAAACTATTTTGCATTTTTTAGAACTAACTTAGAAATAAAAAGTCTACCAGTGCTTTTAGCAGCACTTACAATTACTGCAATGGTGGGTGAAAATTTTGGAACTGTTGGGATATTTTAAAATATCCTAAATATTAATCTACATGTACAAGTTAAATACCACTAGGAAACTTCTTCAAGAGCTTTCATTAGACACCTTACTTAGGTCATTATAATAATCATGGCTAGGTTATTATAATAATCATGAAAGAAGTCAGCAACTTTGTGATTAACATCCCTTCAGCCATTTTGTCAGAATTTAACCCATATTTTAGGAATGATTTGATGAAACAAAATATTTGGCTTTGAACTATTTTCCACATCAGAAAAAAGTTTCTGGATGTGTTGATATGGAATGGCTCAAAAGAGTGGATTCAAGGAAGAAGACATACCAGAGAGCAAGGATGAGAATGACAGCAGTTGAGATGAAGCGACAATGACTGTGCTGTGATGAAGATCTTTCCCTCGAATGGTACTTTCCTGTACAACCAGCATTCACAAGATCAACTCCACTGAAAACATGAGCAGGTACTCATGATACAGATGGAGGAATAGGATTATCCAACAACCCACCACCATGGGATCGGAGGGAGGAGAAAGAAGAAGCAGATGATGCAGAGGGGTAGCGCTTCTTGTGGTTGTGCTTGTTCTCAAGACGCTCAACACGGGATTCAAGCCCAAGAGTGACCCGATGTAGCTCCTTCACAGCACCAATGTTCTCCATGAAAAGTCGATCTTTGTTGACAAGTAGGAAGTTGGAGATTAGGTGTCCGTTGGAGAGACGCACATCTCCAGCACTTTCTACAGCCTCTGGCAGCACTTCTTGCAACTCTTGAGCAATGATCCCAACATCAGTGTTTCGGACCTGAGACCGACTCAAGCCTAGATGTTCAGCCACTTCAGGCGAATAGTTGTACTCTACCACTCTGAGCCGGGACAAGTTCTCCAACTGCTTCCGAGAATCCAGCTGTATGGGATTAATAGCATTATGACAATATTAAAAAAAGACATACCATAGACATATCTTCTGCATTTCTCATTGAAGGTTGAGAGCTGGCAGAAATATTAGTTAACTGTCAATGAGCATATCAAATTTCAAAATTTTAAAAATTCTCTCACATCACCATTAATCTGTGGCATCTATCATCTATTTCTTCCATGATTGAAGGCACACAGCTGCTACATTTGTAATTTCACCTACCTCTTGAAGGACTCCATGCAAGCTGGGATGAGTATATTAATCAAAATTAAGTTACTCAGTTACCTCTAAAATATATTATCTTTTCTATGAAAATGGAATTTTCCCTATTGGAGTTAAGAGTAATGTTTTAGTAACTTTCAATCATCCTCATCTACAAGTATAATTTAACAGATGTCTCTAGCTTTGACATTTCATCCCTTGAAATGGGACATGGATAGCTTAACCCCTAATTGGAAGGACCCCTACAATTTCAGACAGCATTTTGGTAGGCAGTTGTCACCAAGTGGAAAATTCAATGATCCTTCATCTTCCTTTGCATCCTCATCACTTTAATGACCATTATAAGTGATAAGAATGAGGAAGGCTTGGTATCCCAACCATTCCCAAATGACTTTTCTTATTAATGTAGATGTAGCATTAACCTCATTGATGATGGACTTGGCACGTCTGTCACTGGGTTGGATCATGTGGCCGGTGAGCTTGATATTCCCATGAACAACGAGGGCTTCATCTGGTCGATCCGTATTCACACCCACCTGACCAATGTGAAAAATGGTGTCTCCCAACCCTCCTTTTTGCCAGCACACTTCCATGTCATTCTCAAACTGTCCTGGATTTGATGCCTACATGCAAACAGTAATGCCTTCATTGCATACCTCTGGCTTTCACAGACCATGAGTCTGCCAGAAATATTCAGTTCTGATTTGACTCACACGAACTATTATCTTCTCAGATGCATGTGTGACAACTGGGAAACGCTGATCTCCACACTGAGCCTGAAGGGCTACAACCAGATGAAAATAGCGCTGGTCAGGATTCGGTTTCCCCTTCTTCCGCATGTTGTTGGATGTTGTCTCACTGAAGTGGAGTCTCCCCACAGTCATTTTTGTCACCATGGATGAACTCACTTCTACCCTGCTCATGCATAATATTTTATTTCACATTGTGAAAGGCATATTCATGTAACGGACAGATGCAAAGACATACGGAACAGGATGAAAAGGTTTCTTGGTTCGATCAGATTGAGACTGCTCAATGCGGATCGTCTGCGAAGGTGATTCCATCTTGACTCCATAGAAATGGACAGAGAAACCATCAACCTTCTGGAGACCATTTGGTGTCTGGACAAAGGCTGGTTCACCATACATCTGGATGTGGCATGTAATCTGCAAATAGCATTAAATACCACTCTCCTCAAACTTAATCTCCATCTAATCATAGCAAAAGATGGAAATGAAAAAAAAAGTAAGTCAGGCTGACTTGGAAGTGATTCTTCTTCTGGCACACAAAAGCATCATCTGCATTGGAGAAGTTGAAGCCCTTATCTGCATCCACCTTGTACATTGGCAGCTCCCTATCATGACCAACACACAAACATATACACAGACAGAAGGTGAAGATATCATTGTGAGAACAAGAGGAGATGACTCACAATTCCTTCAGGTTGATGTCAGTGAGGGTGCACCAGGAGCTCTGCTGGAAGGGAGAAAATCTGATACACTGAAGGCTTCCATCACTGTTGGTGCCTCCAGGAGAGGCTAAGCCATCAAAGGAATACTCCTCATCGGCCAGAATCCCCGCATGTGGGGACAACCCTATTGAGTAGTGACATTTGCATTCACTAAATTGGCATGGAACAACACGAAGATCATCTAAGAGGGAGAGACACTTACGAGGCTCCTCCTTCACAAGGTTCTTGAGATGCTTGGGATCCAGTGGCTGGGTACCAGGGTCCTGAAGAGGCCTTTTGCGTCCTGATGACCCACCTATACCTGAACCTTCCTGCCCTCCCTCCTCCACTGGGTGCACAGGTCCAGCCCCTCCATATCCTCCATAGTGCTCAGATATGTGTGAGATATTGAGATTTGTGTACGTGTTTGAGTAGCCACCATACTGGACCATATCTCCATTTACACCATTCACCAGGACAAGAGAGCTCCCTTTGTGACCTAATTCAATGACATCCACACACTCACTTCCAATTTCCAAAGTGATTGAAGTGCAAGAAATGGTGAATCACAATAAAACACAATGCTTAATTGGGCAACACTTCTCATCAGCCCCCAAAAAAAAAGGATTTATAAATTAACCCTTTGAGGAGTGGGCTTTTTTATTGCCTGCAAGATCCTCTGTAGTGAATACAAAGAGAGCAGGATAGCATCAGCCAGTAAATATATGGGCTTTCTCCTCAAAAGATTAACAATAAAGCCATGCAAAGGTTATTGTCAAGCAAGGTCTTTTCAACTTACACCCCATCCCTAGTATCCACCTGAAATGCATGTCATGGGGAAAAACAAGGATAGGAGTCTAAATGATGCCAAGACTCAACCAATGAAAGGCAAATAGATGATAATAAGATTATAGACTCACCAGGGGAGGTATTTCTGCTTTCCTGTGGAGAGAAAGGAGGCTCAGAGCTTGAGTCTGGTGGACTGTCAGGCCTGCAAATGATATACATACATAAATATATGGTACCATAAAATGCATACACATGGTAAATAATGTGAGGAGTTGAAAATGCAGGGGGTATAACTCCCATACAAACCTTCCCATACACTTTCAACCCATTCTATATCACAATTTAATTTCATGACAGACTTTGGAAATTCTTTTAATATACTACATATTTTGTCAATGTTAAGTTTGTTCTTTTCCTCTTTCGGGTATATGACCTAACGTCTGGAAGTATCTATCCTGGTGATTTTAGCTGATGGCAAATTCAAGGATTGTCAAAGTACTTGGAAAACATATTTCACAGTTAGACAGGGACTCACAGGAAAAGGCTGGTTCTGTGGTGTAGATTGGGGTCAGGTGGGACCTCCAAGGGAGGTGGAGGCTGTGGAGGTGGGGGTGGAGGGCATCCAACATCATCCTCCCCCACAACTCCCCCAAAGTACCTTGACAAAGAGCAGCCACCAAGAACCCTTTTAGGTCCCATTCCTTAGATCTGGACTTAACTTACTCTAAGAATGGAGCTAAACTGAGAAAGAGGCCTATTTCTGTTGCAACTCCTTCCCGTGGCATCTCTAACGAGCTGCAGAAATCTTTAATCTAATTTTTCATTTGATTAAGTGCACTCACAAGTGGGAGTCGGGAGGGTCATGGTCTTCAGGAATGTATCCATCCAGGTCCCCGATCTCCAACGCATGGCTCAATCCCCCTCGTCCTGTCCATAAATCGGTATTGGGGTGTGAAAATATTAAATAGTAAGTAAATAGGCCTAAAATAAAATATAACGTGAATAGGAAATGTCCTTGGTTTTCTTTCCCTTTGTCTCGTGTAAACCTTGCGTAATGACGGGAAAAAATGATTCGCGGCGGTACCCCTCGACTGACACAAACTAGGACAAAGGCGAGACAGGCAAAAAAAAAATGGGAGGGGGACCGGGAAATTTATGCGCATCCACAGGTACCTGAGTACTATTCTCCTTTTCCGAGGAAAAAAGAAAAAATCCATACACATGAGTCGAAGCCAGACACTTCATTTCCTGCCCATCTCAGTGAACAGACACGTGTCACTTTTTTTTAATACTTTCTTCCTTCTCTTTCTCTCTCCCTCATTCTAGGATGGTCTCGCATTTCCAAGGAGAACAATAATAATACCAATAACAATCGAGAGGTGGAAGACAGTGGCATTCGATTCTTCCTCACTCGATACCAGATTCCCTCTAAAAATGTCAATTCCTCCATCACAGAACTGAACGGAAGGTGAACGAGGGCATCACATTATAACGGACAAAGGACAGACAGCCATTCGTGCAAATGGAGGCAAGAGGAAGAAGAAACAGTGAAAATGAAGTACACGTGGAGGAGGGATTAACTGAATGGTCACTCGATCACACTCCCAATCCCTGGGGCATATTCCGGGAGAACAAACGGGCAATGCGGAAGAATCGAGCAGGAAACCAAATCCCATCGTCAAAAAAAAACTCCCCCCTCAAGTCCCATTGCATCCAACACACTAAGTCACGGTAATTGTTAAACGACGGCATGGAGTCTCACGGTAGGGGAGGCGAATTTACCACTTTTCCCTCATAAAGTATGCCCTCCTCTTCTTCCCCGTAGAGGGCAAGAAAACTAATTTCTGGTTGCCTGATGAGGCGTACCACTAACCGTAAGGAAAGTCTGATGGCTTGAAAATCAAAACTATTATTTTTCAAACACCCCAAGAATCTATGCCATTGAGGGATTCGACATGCAAATAGGACCACTGTCAGCAATATTCAGTTCCTAATCCCCTCCTCTCTGAAATAAAGGCATTCGTACTAAATACAATGGGCTATAAGGCCTGCAAGCTCTTGCGTGAACAGGGTATCTATACAATTCTCTATACAATTCATTCAATGGACATCCTGCTACATATGGCTTTGTATGGCAACATCAAATGTTCAAACTCGGTACCGTTAAAGGTTTGACAAACGTGGACACGATGACGAAAGGTGTCACGCACACGCGCGAGTGTCTCTCCAGTTATTGCAGCACAGGCTGCACGAATGTCACCTTTCAACTGATCAATATCGCGGACCCAGAAAATAAATCATCACGAGGCAGGAAATTTGGACCACCCTGTATATCCATGCACAATTTTCATCATATCCAACCATTGCAAACCTTTTCCACTCTGGAACAGGATTCAGTTTTATCCGGGTCCAAAAGGGACAGATGATAAAAATAAAAGAAAAAAAAATCAAAATAAAGTCGCGCAAGCATGTTTTGGGATTTGTTTTTCTGAAGAAAAAAAAATTTCGTTTTCATTAATAGAACTGATGCATAAAATGAAGGGGATTCTAATTTCAGATCCCTCACTGACTTGAACGGCTCAGGAAATACAATGCGTTTTGGAAAAATCACGGGTTTCACGGGATGAGACAGGCAACAAATAATTAAATTAGCCTCCTCCTACACACTCCCATGAAGAATTTTCAACCTGCGGTGCTGCCTACTGCTTCAGTACTGTCAATCGAAGAAATGGAGGAGGCTAATTCCATTTAACTGCCATAGGGAGAAAGAGAAATCACAGCAAAGCGCATTCTCAGCTGCATGTATAAGCAGTTTTCACCCGTTTTATTTACAGAGATTGCGAAAGAGCAAGTACCGTTGCGGAATGCGAAAATGAAATACCTAAGGTAGCATTACACATTGACACAAATAGTCTAATGCTCGGAAGATGCTTGTATAACTTGGACCCAGATAGCTGGCAGATGTCTATGCGCAAGTCAGTTATGTTTAACATGGTTCCCAGGAAATTTTAGAATGAAACAAGCCAGAATTTTCCCAGGTCCTTTCGAGGGTAATTTCCCCTCGTTCTTTTTCCTGTATGACCTCCACCTTCCTCGTACCGCCATTCATTCATCGTTCTGTCCATTTCCCGGACGACTTTCAGGATGTTAGGACAATTTCCTTGACTCTGACCCCATTTCTATTTCTCTGACTTTTCTAGGCCTGTGGGTACACTGGAATTTCTGCTAAAGAGAGAAGCCGAAGGGGAGGACCTGATATGAGAGGGGGAGGAGGCGGATGACTATGATGGAGATGATGCTGAAGAAAATGGTGATGCGGACAATCAATCGCGGATCCCGTGTCCATGGAGACGTCCATGTCAGGGACTGGACCTGGCGTCGACGCCGGCCCGAGCATCGACGGGGAAGCCAGACAGGGATGATAGGAAGACGACGCCATTCTCTAACAATGGGTGCTCACAAATACACCTACTTTCACCCAAATTCACTTTTTCCTGAAAGGGGTGCCGCATCAGAGACCATTACAGACCGGTACATCTGCTACGTCTGTTGACTCCAAATTACGATGAAACCTATTCATCGAACATTCTTCGACTACGTATGTAAAATAAATGCCAGAAAGGAAGTCGTCCTCTTTCGAAAGGACCCTACCTCCTAATTACAAGATTCACATCATAGTCCCTGACGTCACTTCGAGGAAGAAGAGAAAAACCGTGTAGACCTATGAAACACAACTCCACGTGCACCCACACACTCTCGTGGACTGGTTGGCAGGGGAAGGGGAAGGGAACGGCTCTCTTGCGTTCTGTTCCTAACTAACTGTCCGCTTCCTCCCTCACCTTATTGGGCGTGATACCTCAAGCACCTCCCCCCATCATCAACTATATGCTGTCACCTGCCCTACTTTTTTTTTTCTCCCCCTCCTTGGATACGGGATATTCCATTCATTTGGTTCCAAGCTGGATTTTTAATCGCCAGGCCCCGCTCGGTTGAGATAAGAACATGTCATGTCATATTCGTGGGATTTGGGGAGATGCTAAACGAGATGAGGTGACGCACCTCCGCTCTGAGTCTCGCATTTCCTCCCGTTTAATCTCTTGTTTATGCGGGATCCAAGAGTGCGAGGGCACGTGCCTTCCTGTGTAACCCGTTCGTCATTCGATCTTCATCCAGATAAATCCACATGTTGATGATGATGTTCTCTTCCCTCCAAAACCCGTTTCACCCGGGGTGGTCCTTCGATAGAATGGGATTGATAGGTGGAACGGCACGGTCGAGGGAAGGGGAAATCGAGCAGAGAGGAATCGATCCACTGACCACACGAGGTCACCTTTTCTTTTATTCCCCTTCGCACATTCCTTTCATTCCTACTCAACGCTGACTCCAACTCATTTGTCTCTTTCCAAACCTCCGAAAAAAACCTCGGAGAGAAAGACCGAATTTCCTCATCCCCCTCACCCCCTCCCTCTCCAAACACCCCAATGGAGAGTGGCACATATGCAGTATAATAATTTAAAAAATGCCAAAAAAATCTGAGATTCCCAATTCACATTCTTGGTTTCCTAAATCTTTGCGTATGTGTCCCGATCTTGTGAGTACTTATTATAAGGCTAACACCAGTGAGCAAAAAAAACAAGCTTCCTTGAGTAGGGTGTCATCGCATGGTTGCACCGATATAGCCTTCCCAATGGATAACGAAGAGTTTCAATTCACTATCCATAGTTAATGACTATCATCTAACATCTCAGATGAAATCGACCAGGTATCTGATCCGACTTGAAAAAAGTAAATATGTTTTTGCCTGCCCTCTTTAAATCCCATGTAATTCCTCTAAAATCGTTTCTCGGTATTCTTACAGCGATGAAGATTTTCTCAGCCAGCAAGCTTACGTGTTACTTCCAACATTCCCAGCTCGGCTCATTGCTTCTCAGGGATCAATCATTTTGCCCGACAGATTAGCGGATTTGGTAACAACCTTGACGATAACTACATTGAAGAACATAAAGGTCTAATTCAAAAATGGCAAATTTTGATTATTCGTGACTTCGGCATTGGACTAGGAAGATATAAATCCTTTAAAAATACAATACAATTGGCCCAAAAAGAAGTAGGCAATGACGAGAATGCACAACATGCAGTTAATTTTTTTTTCATTCACATTAGAATTAAATCAGGGTTTTAGCAAAGACGAGAAACAGGATGCTGCCTGGACGGAAAGGACTCGAATTACAAATTTAAAGTATATATTTATAGGAGTATTATCTACCATGAATTAGTCTGAGAATTTCCATTGATAACTTGGGGATTAAAAAAAAACTGAGTCCGGATATCACGTCTCTGTGGAAATGCAAGACCGAGTCACGAGGAATAGACGGATGAGCTTGTAAACACCATTATGTAATGGCTTCATAGACAAGTTATAAGGGCCTCCATGAGAAAGAGAGAGGAGATCCAAGGCCAAGGTGATTAAAGGCTCGGGAAGGCGTGAAAAGGAGAGACGAAGGCGGAAACTGTCCCTCCCGATCCGCTTCAACAAACAGCGATACCGAGACTCATGGAGAAATGAATCGGCACAGCTTGGCACGTCCTTCTGCTTCGCATTTTTCTTCCGCTTCTTTCGTACTCGTCCGTTCCTTGAGTGGCTCAGACCAAAGCAAACCATTAAATTGAAATTTAATTTCAGTTGAAATGCGATCAAAATTGAAAACTTAATGAACTTGACACATATTTTATTTATAGTCGGAAATATGAAATAGCAAATAACATGCTATGCGCGCAGGAAGTCGGATATTCCTGGGATGTAGGGTGTACAAGGAGCATTCTTCTACGCTATTACAGGAAAAAAGACTGAAGAATCTCAACCATGATTTAAAACAATAATTTGAGTAATGTCCATCTCATTATCTGAATCAAATCATTGATTCGAAACTTTAGACTATAGTGATCCATTTTGGGGCATATTTGTGATTTGGCTATTTCGGAAGAGAAGATACAACCTCTTTACAGAAGCGAGAAGTCGGTGCACAGGCATATATAAAGGAAGGACATGGACAGGAGCGTGCTCCAATTTCCCACGGAATAGGGGAATAGAGAGAATGACCGGAAGCGTGAGCCCGGTTACTCGGGCACTTGGCAATGAGACACACACACAAAGTGTGGTGGTCTCCCCAGCTTACGCCTCCTATTCTATTCTACATTGGGAATATTATAGCGGGCCTCTTTTTTTTTTTCCTCTTTCTTTCCCACGCCTGCTCAGTTATCCGCCTAATAAGACCCAGCTCTAAGACGAACCTCTTCCTTCCCTTCCCCTTATCTTACACTCCACGAAGAATGAATGAGTGTGGTCATTTTGGTCATTCACAACCCTGTGATTCCTTATCGGAGGGGGGGTCATGGGATCTGGCCTCTTTTCGTTTCTACCTCCTTGTCTCGACCCATGGAATAACAGTTTTACGTCAAACCATTTTTAAATCCCGTTTCAAGAATTCTGGATGGGATAAGAGACTCTTTTGAACTCCTATGAAGGTCATCGATTTAACGGTATCAACAATAGCCTTGGCTAACAAAATGACGGGAACAGGTTTCTTCCGCGTAAATCCCATACTACACGATGAGTGTGGCAGGGGATTGGTTGTACCGAATTTCATGAAACATCAATGGGTGAACCAAGAGATGACCTAATCCTAGCACCAAAAAAAAAAGTTGATCATGGTGAGAATGAGTTGTACGAGTACGAAAGGCAGAAATAATAATATATTTTCATATTTTCGTCATCAGTAATAAAAAATATAATTGGATATTGGGGATCGGCCAACTATCTCAATGTCAAGGCCACCGGTGGCGGCGATATTTGACATGCCAATTGAAGGGATCGAATATTGAATCTCTCATGCAATGTGAACAAGTTTTGAATGAAACCCGATTCCAGAGGGAGTTTCAGCGGAAATTAGATTCCTGACTTGACTCTGAAACAACTTACGTTGTATAGCTGAATGCAGTAATAACATCATTGAAGGGAGCAGGGAAAAAAATGTATGTTATAGTCGAGTCGATATGTGACCGAAGTTTCATTTTTCTAAATTGTGGAACCATATGAGCTCCACGTTCACAACCGACGCGTGCTTTACTTTTCCCACTTTTTACCATAAGGATGTTTACTTTCTGATTTATCGGCAAGGCTTGCCTCTTTCACTTTTCACTGGCCCTGCTGTCTACAAGAACTGTGAATAGCAACTGATGGTTAGGATAAGATCACTTGGTGACCGGGTATTTTCCCCCTCCACCCTGACGCATCCTCCCTCAGTCATGGACACGACACACGCGAGACCATCCAGGAAAGCAAAATTACAGAAAAGAAAGAGAAAATTAGCGGTCTCCAATAGTCAAGGTTTCCAACCATGGAATTTCCGATTATTGGGGAGCAAGATGGCGAATGACTTCATAACGTTGCCAAATTTTCCAGGTGGACAAAAATTGACTCAAATAAAACCGAGGTACTCAACAATAGCCGAGTTCGTTATAAGGTATAAAATGGTATAATATGGTATAAAATCACGTACCTCATGGGCTTTAGGATTGGACCAGACATTATCCGTCGCTATAAGCGAGGCCGTTATAACCAAGCTTGACTGGGCTCTTTACATATTTGCATCAGATTCAATCATTTTAATTAATCCCTCTGACATCTTTGGGGCATTGCAAACTACCAGTTTTTAATATCATTGCACCTCAAGCATTTTCGAACATCATTGATACAGTACCAAGGCTTCACCTCATTCATGATACTACTTTACAAAAGCGGCCGAAATTGTGGAATCTGCAATTTTTCAGGTCTCTTTTCACTTGACTTTTAGGAGCATGTCAAGCACTGCAGCTCCAAGCTTCATGAGTGCATTCATCAGGAATGGGGGGGCTACGACATCATTGAATGAATACTGGCACTGCACTATGATTGAAATCCTGGAATATGTCATCAGCTTTACTCTGCACCAGGTCCAAAAGCTAGATAATTGTACCAATAGAAATAAAAACTTTTTCTTTTCAATGTGTCACGCCTAGAAGGTCCCAGGTTTCATCATTCATTTTTTGATATGATAAACTGTCCATTCCAAATAACCTAAACCATCTGCACTTGGTTCACCTATTTGCCCTTGCAGTTTTGTTATGTCACATAAAAAGTGAATGACTAAGTCTGAACAAGAAGTTTGCAAAGAAATAGGGGAAAGTGACTGCTCATTGACAGGAACACCTCAACTAATTTATCCAGAAACCAATTCAAACAAGTAGTTCTGCATGGAACACCACACCAGTTAAGAATGAATGCCCTCCCATCAATGCTGGGAAATAGGTTATTTTGCAGATAACAGGTACTGCATGATTGTAGCATCTCATATAGAG